TTATTTCTTTTGTTTCTTTTTATTTCTTTTATTTCTTTTATTTTTTTATATCACTTTACTCTATTTGTGTCTCCTGTCTCCTTTTTGTCTCTTTTTTGGATTTTTTTGCGTCATTTTTTTTGCTTTTTCTGTCTCCGAGTCTCTTTGAAGGTTTTGCATTTGAAAAGTCCTTCAAATCAGTTATATTTTCTTTTTATTTTCTTTTTATTTTCTTTTTTTTTCCTTTTTAGGTCAAGAATTCAAATGCGAAATCTGCGGAAACTTCAGCTACTGGGGCCGCAGGGCCTTCGAGAGACACTTCGCCGAATGGAGACACTCCTTCGGCATGCGCTGTCTCAAAATTCCAAACACCACTCACTTCAAGGTCTTTTTCTCTTTTTTTTCTCTTTTTTTCTTATTTTTTGTCTCTTTTTGTCTCCTTTTTTGTCTCTTTTTGTCTCCTTTTTTGTCTCCTTTTTTGTCTCTTTTTGTCCCCCTTTTTGTCTCCTTTTTGTCTCCTCAGCGAGCTGCTTTTTGTCTCTTTTTGAGGCTGCTTTTGTCTCCTTTTGGGGCTTTTTTGGCGCTCTTTGTCCCTTTTTTTGTCTCCTTTTTGTCTCCTTTTTGTCCCCTTATTTGTCTCTTTTTTGTCTCCTTTTTATCTCCCTACTTCCCTTTCTATTTGTCTCCTTTTCTCTCTTTTTTTCTCCTTTTTGTCCTTTTCTGTCTCTTTTTGTCTCTTTTTTGTCTCTTTTTATCTCCTCACTAGTCTCTTTTTGTCTCCTTTTTTGTCTCCTTTTATCTTCTGATTTGTCTGTTCTTTCTCTCTTCATTTGGCCCCTCTTTGTCTAATTATTTGTCTCCTTTTTGTCTCCTTTTTATTTCTTCATTGTCTCCTTTTTATTTCTTTATTGTCGCCTTTTTATTTCTTTATTGTCTCCTTTTTATTTCCTTTTTGTTTCTTTATTGTCTCCTTTTTATTTCTTTTTTGTCTCCTTTCTATTTCCCTTTTGTCTCCTTTTTATTTATCTTTTGTCTCCTTTTTGTCTCCTTCCCATTTCTCTTTTGTTTTTTTTGTCTCTTTTTTTTTCTCCTCAAATTCTAAATGAATAAAGAGATTTGGACATGATGTTGTAGTAAGTTCGAGGGTTTAGGGTTTTGGCAGTTTGTGTCTCCTTTTTCGTCTCTTTCTCGACGCTCTTTAAACTTCTATTGAAATAGGGTTTAGGGTTTTGGCAGTTTGTGTCTCCTTTTTCGTCTCTTTCTCGACGCTCTTTAAACTTCTATTGAAATTGTCTCATAAGAAGTGTCTCCTTTTTAAACAATTCTCCTTTTATTAAAAGTGTCTCCTTTTATTAAAAGTGTCTCCTTTTATTTAAAGTGTCTCCTTTTATTTAAAGTGTCTCCTTTTATTTAAAGTGTCTCCTTTTATTCAAAGTGTCTCCTTTTAAATAGTATCTCTCTCGGACAAATAAATGGCAAAAAGGAGACAAAAAGGAAACAAAAAATTAAAAAAAGAAAAGAGAAAAAAGGAGACAAAAAGGAAATGAAAAAGAGACAAAAAGGAGACAAAAAGGAAATGAAAAAGAGACAAAAAGGAAATAAAAAAGAGACAAAAAAGGGAAAAAAAGAAAATTAAAAAAGAAAAAATTATCTTTTTCGAATGTCTCCTTTGGATGGAGAGAAGAGTGTCTCTTTTCAAATTGTCTCCTTTTAAATTCTTTTAAACTTTCTTTTTAAATTATCTCCTTTTAAATTATCTCTTTTTAAATTGTCTCTTTTAAATTGTCTCCTTTTAAATTATCTTTTTAAATTCTTTTAAACTTTCTTTTTAAATTGTCTCCTTTTAAATTGTCTCTTTTCAAATTGTCTCCTTTTAAATTGTCTTTTTAAATTGTCTCCTTTTAGATTCTAAAATTTCTTTTCAAAATCCTTTTTTAAATTGTCTCTTTTTAAATTGTCTCTTTTAAAATTATATCTTTTTAAATTATCTTTTTAAATTATCTTTTAAAATTGTCTCTTTTTTAATTCTCTTTTTAAATTGTCTCCTCCTTGGTTTTGTCTTTTGTGATTTTCTTTTTTAGAAGTGTCTCCTTTTCAAAACTGTCTCCTTTTAAAGCTCTTTTTAAAACTGTCTCCTTTTAAAACTCTTTTTAAAACTGTCTCCTTTTTAAAACTCTTTTTAAAACTCTCCTTTTTAAAACTCTTTTTAATGCCGTCTCCTTTTTAAAACTATCTCCTTTTTAAAAGTGTCTCCTTTTTAAAACTGTCTCCTTTTTTTAAAACTGTCTCCTTTTTTTAAAACTGTCTCCTTTTAAAAAGTGTCTCCTTTCAAAAACTCTTCTTTTTAAAACTATTTTCTTTTTTGAAGCTCTCTTTTCTCAAACTGTACTCCTATTTAAAACTGTCTCCTTTTCAAAATAAAGTGTCTCCTTTTAAAACACAAGCGTCTCCTCCTAAACAAAAGACAGAGCTTTTTAAAACAAAAGTGTCTCCTTTCTAAATAAAAGTGTCTCCTTTTAAAACAAAAGTGTCTCCTTTTAAAACGAAAGTGTCTTCTTTCACAACAAACTGTCTCGTCTCAAAACAAAGTGTCTCCTTTTTAAAAAAAATAAAGTGTCTCCTTTCAAAACAAAAACGTCTCCTTTTAAAAATAAAAATGATAAAAATAAAAAAATGTCTCCTTTTAAAACAAAAGTGTCTCCTTTCATTAATTAAAAATAAAAAAAGTGTTTCCTTTTAAAATGAAAGTGTCTCCTTTTATTAATTAAAAGCAAAGAAAATTAATAAAAGTGTCTCCTTTTAAGATGAAAGTGTCTCCTTTTACTAATGAAAAAGAAAAGAATAAAAAAATAAAAAAGTGTCTCCTTTTAAGATGAAAGTGTCTCCTTTTATTAATGAAAAAAAAAAGAATAAATAAAAGAAATACAAAAGTGTCTCCTTTAAAAAAGTGTCTCCTTTTAAAAAGTGTCTCCTTTTTAAATAAATAAAAGTGTCTCCTTTTTAAATAAAACTGTCTCCTTTTATTAATTAAAAATAAATAAAAATAAAGTGTCTCCTTTTTAAAAAGTGTCTCCTTTTATTAATTAAAAACAAAAAAAATAATAAAAATAATAAAAAGTGTCTCCTTTTAAAAAGTGTCTCCTTTGAACTGCTGCTGCAGGCCTTCAAACAAGACCAGGAGTTGGAGTGCGAAGACGCCGACGGAAACGTAATGAGCCTCAGGGCCTTCGAAGACCTCAGGAGACAGGGACTGCTTTAAATTGCTGCTGCTGCTGCTGCTGCAGTAGCTGCTGCTGCTGCTGCTGCAGTAGCTGCTGCTGCAGTAGCTGCTGCTGCTGCTGCAGTAGCTGCTGCTGCTGCTGTCGTAGTAGTAGCTGCTGCGTCAGTTGCTGTAGTAGCAGCAGCTGCAGCAGCTGCAGCAACTGCTGCGTCAGTTGCTGTAGCAGCAGCAGCTGCAGCAGCTGCAGCAACTGCTGCGTCAGTTGCTGTAGCAGCAGCAGCTGCAGCAGCTGCTGCGTTAGTTGCTGCAGCAGCAGCTGCGGCGGCCGCGGCTTTGCATCTGGACCAGTGGGAGAGGTGGAGTTGCTGGTGCTGCTGCTGCTGCAGCAGCAGCTGCAGCAGCTGCAGCAGCTGCAGCAGCTGCAGCAGCTGCAGCAGCTGCAGCTGCAGCAGCATCTTTTGTATTTTTTCATTAGTAATGGACGCAGCAAACGCAATTGCTACTTTGTTTTCTTCGAGCTTCTTGCTGCTAGTCTCTGCTTTCGAGGGTTTAGGGTTTAGGGTTTAGGGTTTAGGGTTTGGAGGAGACAGCTGGAGACTGGCGTAGAGGTGCAGGGTCTGAGGTGTACAGACAGCGCAGCTGGGCGAAGCAAACGCAAGAAGCTTTTTGTCTCCTTTTGATTTATTTAATTTAAATAAATCAAAAGAAACTTTTTGTCTCTTTTGGATTTATTTAATTCACTTTTGATTTATTTAATTTAAATAAATCAAAAGAAACTTTTTGTCTCTTTTGGATTTATTTAATTCAAATAAGTCCAAAGAATGTTTAGTTTTAAAAGTATTTAAAAATGTGCAAAGACACATTTTAAAATATATATTTTACGCAATATCAATGCATTTACACAGATGAGCTGCTGCAGCAGCAGCAGCAGCAGCAGCAGCAAACTGCAGCAGCAGCAGCAGCTGCTGCAGCAGCAGCAGCTGCTGCAGCAGCAGCAGCAAACTGCAGCAGCAGCAGCTGCTGCTGCAGCAAACTGCAGCAGCAGCAGCAGCAGCTAAGGGCCCCCTTTCTTTCCCAAGGGCCTTCACCAAGCCAGCGCCTAGGGCGCTGTCTCCTCAAGGGGCCCCTCAGGGGCCCCCAGGGGGCCCCCCTCCTCGAGGGGCCCCTCGGGGGCCCCCAGGGGGGCCCCCTCCTCTAGGGGCCCCTCGGGGGCCCCCAGGGGGGCCCCCTCCTCGAGGGGCCCCTCCGAGGGGGCCCCCAGAGATGTGGCCTTCTGAATAAGTTTGTCGATTTGTTCCAAAGTGAGTTCTTCTGCTTCTTTTTGTCCCGGGAAAGCCCCAAAAGTCTCCTCGAGGCGACTGCATGCATGCATGCATGCAAGCGCTGAAAGCTAGGGTTTAGGGTTTGCATGCATGCATGCATGCAAGCGCTGAAAGCTAGGGTTTAGGGTTTGCATGCATGCATGCATGCATGCGAGCTAGGGTTTAGGGTTTAGCGTCTGCATGCATGCATGCATGCGAGCTAGGGTTTAGGGTTTAGGGTTTGGGCGGACGGGCAGCCGCGGCAAGGCGCCCCGCGGCTGCATGCGGGAGGCAGCAGCCGCGAAGGCTAGGGTTTAGGGTTTAGGGTTTAGGGTTTAGGGTTTACAGGCAAGCAGCAGCGAGGGGGCCCCTGCAAAGAGTCCCGAAGAGGAAAAGGGCTGCATGCGAGGGGGAGTTGGGATCGTGTTCAACTGTGAGGTTTCCGATCCCAAAAGGAGACACTGACCGCCGCGCCTTCACTGCAGCAAACCCGCAAACCCTCGAGGGTTTAGGGTTTAGGGTTTAGGGTCTAGGGTTTAGCGTTCGGCGGACACACCCAGCGAGCCCCCACCGAGACACAACCACACCCGCAGGCCCGCGCCTATCCAGCTAGCTAGCTAGCTAGCTAGCTAGCTAGTTAGCTAGCTAACTAGTTAGCTAGCTAGCTAATTAACTAGCTAGCTAGCTAGCTAGCTAGTTAATTAGCTAGCTAACCAACTAAGTAGCTACCCAGGGGCTAGTAAGCTAGCTAACTAGCTAGCTAGCCAGTCAGCTAGCTACCTAGCTAGTTAGCTAGCTAGCTAGCTACTTAGCTAGCTGGCTAGCTAGCTAGCTAGCTAACTAGTGGGAGTTGGCGGTGCGAGTGTGAGACCTGCTGCGAAGAAGCGGCTGCGGGGCTGCGGGGCTGCAAAGGCGTGGAGGGATTAGGGTTTAGGGTTTGGAGGGTTTAGGGTTTAGGGTTTAGGGTTTAGGGTTTACCGCCGGGGTAAGAGGTGAAGCGGCGGAGAAGGCCAGTGTCTCCTTGAAGGGCCTTTTGGTAAAGCTGGGCCATTCGGGTGTCTCTACACAACTCAGAGTAAAACAGGGATCGAGCCAAGTGGGATCGACACCACTGGACCGCGGAGGAGACACTTGTGGGGCCCCACACTTCGCCTCCTGCTGCTGCTGCTGCTGCTGCTGCTGCTGCTGCTGCTGCTGCTGCTGCAGCGGGAGAAGGCACGATTTCCGGCAAAGACTGCGCGAGACACAAAGGAGACAAATGCGAAAGGAGACAAATTTCGAAAGGAGACAAATTAGTTTAAAGATCAAATTAGTTTAAAGATTAAATTGTTTTAAAGATCAAATATCAAATAATTAAAAATATCAAATAATTAAAAAGATCAAATTATTTTAAAGATCAAATTATTTTAAAGATCAAATTGTTTTAAAGATCAAATTATTTAAAAGATCAAATTATTTTAAAGATTAAATTATTTTAAAGATGAAATTGTTTAAAAGAGACAAATTGTTTTAAAAGATCAAATTGTTTAAGAGACAGTTTAAGTTATTTGCAAATATCAAATTATGATTAAAAGGAAATAAAAATTGTAAAAGGAGACAAATTATTTCTAGAGATAAAATGATTTGAAAGAAATAAATTATTTAAAAGAGACAAATGAAGAAAAAGAGACAAAAGAATGCAAAAATTATAAAGATATATTATTTAAAGGAGACAAATTATTTAAAAGAAATAAAATGATTTAAAGGAGACAAAAATTGTGAAAGGAGACAAATTATTTAAAGGACATAAAAGATATAAAAGGAGTAAAGGAAATAAAAATGATAAAAGGAAATGCAAATGGTAAAAGGAGACAAAATTATAAAAGGAAACAAAATGATTTAGGAGACAAATAGAAATGAAAATAATAATAAAGGAGACAAAAAGAAACAAATTAAAAACAAAAGAATGAAAGGAGACAAAATGTGATTAAAAGGAGACAAAAGAAATAAAAGGAGACAAAAGATGGAAAGGAAACAAAAAATAAAAAAGAAATGAGAAAAATAAAAAGGAGACAAAAAGAAATTAATAAAAACACAAAAAGATGAAAGAGACAGAAAAATAAAGACAAAAAGGAGACAAAAGGAGACACAACATCCATATTAGTAAAAAATATATTACATATATTTTTATTTGTTGTAAATATTTGTATTTATAATATATATTTATATTTATTTCATATATTTATATTTATTTAATTTATATATATATTATGTTTGAATAAAATTAAAAAGGAGACAAAAAGGAGACATAAGATTCGAAGGACAAAAGGAGACCAATAAGAAAATTAAAGAAATAAAAAACAAAAAAGAAAAAAAGAAAAAGAGACAAATAAAGAAACAAAAAGAATAAAAGAGTAAAAAGGAGACAAAGAAAACAAAAAGAGACAAAAAAGGGTAAATGAAAAGGCCAAAAGGAGACAAATAAGGAGACACAAAAGGGATAAATAAGGAGACAAAAAGAGACAAAAAAGGAAGTTAAAATGGAATAAATGAAGAGACAAAAATGATATAAAAAAGGAGAAAGAAATGAAATAAATAATGAAAATATTAGGGAGACGGAAAGGAGACAAATGAAGAGTCAAGAAGAGCAAAAAAGGAAACAAAAAAGGATCATTAAAAAGACAAAAAGGGACAAATAAGGAGACAAAAGGGGACAAATAAGGAAACACAAAAGGAACAAAAAAAGGAACAAAAAGGAGCAAATAAGGAGACAAAAAGGGACAAATAAGAAAACAAGGAGACAAAAAAGGACTAATGAGGAGACAAAAGGGAGACAGAAAAAGAGACAAAAAGGAGAGATGAAAAAGGAGACAAGAAAGAAAAAAGAAGGACAAAAGAGACAAAGAAAGAGACAAAAAGGACACAAAAAGGAGACAAAAAAGAGATAAAAAAGGAGACAAAAGGAGCAAAAGAGACAAAGAAATGGAGATAAAGAGGGAGGCAAAAAGGGACAAAATGCGATAAAGCTGGAGACAAAAAAGAAGCAAAAAGGGGACAAAAAGGGGCAAAAAAGAAACAGAAAAGAGACAAAAAAGAGACAAAAAAGAGACAAAAAAGAGACAAAAGGAGACATAAAAGAAACAAGGAAGCAGTAAGGGCCCGAGCAGCAAAAAGAGAGAAGCAGCAGGACCCAAAAGGAGACAAAAGAGACAAAAGGAGACAAATGAAAAAAAGGAAAAATAAAAAAGAAAAAGGAGACAGAAAAGGAGACAGGCGGAAAAACGGGCAGCCTGGAGTACCTCCATATGCCCGCAGACTGGCCTCGGCGCGGAGGGTTCAGGGGCTAGG